AACAGTAACAGACTAAACTCCAAACAATATGTTACAGATTTTAATATTAATTAGTCATTGTCAATTGTTGATTTGTCCTGTTCTCATTGTATGACGAATTATGATGGCTGTTTGGTAGCTGTTTGCATACAATGCATACTCTCTCTCTCTTCATATGTGTGTGTGTTTCTCTGGTGAAATTCAGTATGGTTCCGACAACAGTTTTATGTTAATGTATAATCCTTAATATGTTTTATGTGTGTGTGTTCACTAGCACGCTGTCGCCAAAACACATATTTTTTTGCAGCTGCTTAAAACAGATGCCATGATGTTTGTTTATTTGTCTAAGTACTGATGATAATGAAAGATTTACTTGATTGGTGCTTGAGTTTCAGTAAAACCATGAAAAAAAAACCCTGAAATCAGCATGAAAACACTATTTAAAAAATAGCTTTTTCTGATTATTACAAAAAATAGTTTTTGTGTCCTGTTTTATTCATTTGGGCTGTTTGCACTTTCTTAGCAAACACCACAGCTGGTGCAGAGGAACCTGCATTCAGGTTTGATGTGCAGCAGCAGAGTGAAGTGCACAGGCCTGCAGGTAACATGTAAACACATATTTGCAGTGTACTGTAACGCTGCGGTGTCACCAGACTTCTGTAGAAATAAAAAGTGGAATGTGTACATGTTATGAGTGGACTCATTGTTCTGCTCCTTGAGATGAAGATGTGTCCGAACTTGAGCTGAATGGTAAAGTCACACAAAAACACGTATGCTCTTTGTTTGTTTCTCACTTTAACTCAACACTCAGTCAGACAAACAGGAGAAACTGTTCTTTAGTTTAACCGAAATCTGAGCAACTTTCTGTGGGCTGAATAAGAGATAAAAAAAAAAAATGTAACCTTTTCTATAAATTCAATTAAATTCAGTGTTTGTTTTGGGTTTTTTCTTTTTGTTTGTCCCTAAGTGGACCTCGTTCAGCAGGTTCAAAACGATGGAGTTATTATGCATCATGACTCGGTGGAGCAGCCCTGTGTATGACTTATGGCTGTCTCTATAAAACCGTTACCTAGGTGGAGGAGGTTTTCTAGTGTTGATGGTAATATTTTTTCCAAGTTGGAGCACATTCCACAAACCTTAACCTTCAGTTTCACCTTTCAAGTTCAGACCATCCTTAGCATCAGCTTCAGCTGTTGCTGCTTCAGGGACGTTGACCTTTTTATATCATGTATCTTCTGTTGGACTGTTTACTAATTATTGTATTTTTGTTTTCCTGCTCATTTATTTTGCAATGAAAAACTTGCTCATTGCACTTTGTCAGTGCATTAATGTTAATAGAGCGCTTACAGCCCGACTCACATCACAGGACTAATGTGAAGTGAGATAATGCTTAATCAGGGCAAGCAAATCATTTTCATTACAGTTATATGTTTGTAACCAAATATAGTCATTTTGTCACAGGCCTCAAAACAACTTTGGGAAGCTCTTGCGGAGGAAGCTTTTAAAAGGAAGCTGGCCCAGGCTCATAAAGGACAGGTGGAAGCACGGTTGGCTCCATCCTGTTGGCTAGTTGATCCCCAAAGCCCAGCAGTAAAGCTCAGTCTGGTGTTCTGAGGGGACCATACAAAAGTATAGCCACCAGGACTCCAACTGGAGCAGAAGAGACAGCTGCCAGTTGGCTGTGGGTTACAAGTGGTGGTGATTGGGTAAAGCTGCTGGGACAGGGCTGGATCGTCAAGGTAAGGACCGAAACACCCATAGAACCCAGGAAACATCACTCATGATGTGTACCAGTATAACCACTAGATGCGCCTTTCAACAGATCAAAGCTCACTGGTGTCAAGTTTGTCAGTGTGGCAGGCAAGGGTAGGACCCGAACACAAGACTCAGAGGAGGAAGTAAATAACTTAAGCAACAGCTCTATTTGCTGTGAAACGGAATTAAAAAATAAGGTACAAAGAAACACTAAAAGAAGCAAACAAAAGATAAACTAGAAACAAGGACTCTTGTAAGCAAGGAACTCGTGACTTGGCATAAACGAGAGAACATGAAAAATGCAGCAACAAACAGAGGGAGACTGAGGACTTAAATAAACACACGATAACGACAGGATGGGAAAAGTGGAAACACAGTAGACACAAATCAGACATAACGACAAAGGGGAAGCGAACCTGAACAAAGTGCATACAGGACAAGAGACAATCAAAATAAGACTGGAAACACACTGACAGAGACTCTGACACGCAAGCTGGACAAAGAAACTGGGGAGACAAAAGTAAACACAGGGACAAGACTGACTAAATATAGGAGAAGATTAGACAACTAAGGCCACTAAGAACAGAAGGCTAACAGAAACACACTTTAAACTTGGCAAATGAATAACCAGGAACCTAAGAATTATAATAATTTTTTAAAACGAACAGCACAATGTCCAGAACTAGAAAATACTGAGTCACTGACCTAATGAGACTGGCAATTTGTGGCTCTGTCTGCTACTCCCGGCACCCAGCAAGGCTGTTCCAATCTGGGACTGATGGGTCTCGCTCCACCAACCAGCAACCCAGAACACGTGCAGAAGGAAGGCTGAGTAAAGGGCAGAGGTCATCGCATCATGTGATTAATCAAAACAAAGATCCATAGCTGACATCATTACATTTTTATTGTGATTTCTTCAAGATTCACAAGCTTTATTGTCATATACACCAAAAACACAAGTGGTTACGCAGAGCAACGAAAGTCTTGCTTTGCCAGTTCCCTTCACAAAACTAAATAAATAATAAATAACAACTAAACCCAAAGTAAACTTAACTCTGAGCATAGAAAATAATAAAATAAGTGCTTTGTAGCATTTGTAGCTTATCTGTAGGTGTCAGAACTTAAAGTGCAAGTAGTTGCAACACTGTCACAGTGGTAACATATACAGAGTATGCAATATTTAAAATGTTTATATTGTCTAAAGTTGTGTTATGTTGTATATAAAGTACAAAATTGCAAATTTACAGGTCAAGGTTAATTCAGTTCCACAATAAGTCAGTGATTCAGTAGCCTGATGGCCTGTGGATAGAAATAGTTTTTTAGTCTGGTTGTGCTTGCTTTCACACTGCTGTAGCATCTGCCAGATGGTAGGAGTGTGAACAGTGTGTGCTGTGGGTGGGTGCTGTCCTTGATGATGTTGTGCACCCTTTTTCTGATCCGAGTGTTATAAATGTCCTCTAGTGGTTGAAGGGGCACTCCATAGATGAGTTGTGCCCTTTTAATGACACGCTGGAGAGCCTTCCTGTTCTGATTGGTGTAGTTCCTGCACCACACTGTGATGGAGTTTGTCAGGATACTCTCCACTGTGCAGTTTGGAGGTAAATCCAAATTTTCTCAGCTTCTTTAGGAAGAAGAGTCGTTGCTGACCTGCTGTGTGTTATGGGTCCATGTGAGATCCTCAATGAGGATGTTGGTGCCGAGGAATTTGAAGGTCTTCACTCTCACATTGAACATTTCATCAGCTGATAAAATTAAATGAATCAAACAGAATTCAAATAGACCTGAGACAATCAGGACTCTCACTCATTTAAGCAACCCGATAACAGAGTCTATGTTTTCTAATAGTTCTGTCTGTTCTTTAACGCTAGCATCCTTCATCCTTCAACCTCTTCTACTTCTCTAATACTGATTAAATACATGTTTTATGACCATTTGTACTTCAGATATAAGGGGATTCAGGTCATGCTGTTTC